ACAAGGCCAGAAACCGGGCTTTTCTTCGGGAAAACCTGTCACGATTCGTCCACTGACTGATTCCAACGAAACCAACGCTGGTTCCAAGTAGATCTCGATGAGCTCTATCAAATGGACACCTTTTGAGCTCAAATCGATGCACCCACCGCTTAGAAATCAGCCAATAGGTACCTGGACAGAGCTTTTCTTGCGGAAAATCTATTACGATTCGCCCAGAGACCGATTCCAACAAAACCAACACTGGTTCCCAGTAGATCTTGATGAGCGCTATCGAATGGACACCTTTTGAGCTCAAATCGATGCACCTATCGCTTAGGAATCGGTCAACAAAGCCAGAAACGGGACTTTTCTTCGGGAAAATCTCTCACGATTCGGCCACTGACCGATTCCAACAAAGCCAACACTGGTTCCAAATAGATCTCGATGAGCTCTATCGAATGAACACCTTTTGAGCTGAAGTCAATGCACCCGTCGCTTAGGAATCGGCGAGCAAGGCCAGAAACAGGGCTTTTCTTCGGGAAAACCAGTCACGATTCGTCCACTGACCGATTCCAACAATACCAGCACTGGTTCCAAATAAATCTCGATGAGCTCTATCGAATGGATACCTTTTGAGCTCATATCGATGCACCTATCGCTTACGAATCGGCCAACAAGGGCAGGAACAGGGTTGTTTCAGATTCATTTAACTTTATCATGGAGATTTGAATCTCAAAGAAACTCCACACAATCAAGAAAATTTTTTTTGTTTTGTTTGTTTTTTTTTGTTTAATTTATTATTTTACTGTGTGCAGGTGTTCTGATGGATTTTTATTGTATATTCTGTTTTTATTATTTTATTTTATTCTATAGATTTTCTATTTTTTTTGTTTAATTTTATAGACGATTTTCTGGTTTTTTTTTTATTAATAAAAAAAGTAAGAAAAAAACTGTTTAGAATAAAATAAAATAATGAAGTAAAGGTCTATTCAATAAAATTAAAAAAATAGTAAAAAAAAGTTTATAAGTTAATCATTGTATAGAAGTTTTTCTCATTTTTTCTTTTTATTGTATTGACGTTTTTGCCTATTATTTTATTTTATGTGTATAAAAATTTGATTATTTTATTTTGTTTTATTCTATAGACGTTTTATTAATTTTTTTTAAATTTCATTTGATAGACTTTTTTCTTATTATGTTTTTATTCATAAAAAAAAATAACCAGAAAAAAGTCGATAAAATGAAGTAAAAAAAATTAATAAAACGTCTATGGAATGAAACTATATAAGATAACAAGACAAATTTTTACACCATAAAATAAAACAATAAGAAAAATTTTTACACCATAAAATAAAATAATAAGAAAAATTTTTATACCAGAAAATAAAATAATAGGAAAAGAAGGTCGACACAATAAAAAGAAATAATAAGATATATATTTAATTCTAGGTTGTTTTGTTTAGTTCAGATTTTATTATTTTGTGAAAATTTATTACATGAAATTTCAATAGGTAAGCTTTATTAATGAATACCTTTATTTTAATTTCTTTTTACAAGTTCTAGATGTTTTTTTCGTGGTGAAATATGTGCTTTGGAATGATGATTAAATAAGTTCTTAGAATGGATGAAGAGTGTTGAATTTAAAATTTTTTTTTTAATATGAATAGTTGTTTTTTGTCTTTCGTTATTGTGATATTGGTTGAAGATTGGAATGATGTTTGAGTAATGATAATGAATAAATGTGTTTCAAATTTTTTTCTTCATTTTAGATGTTTTGATATGGGTTAACTTGAAGCAACATTGATCATGGATGTGCTTGTATGCGAGGTAGTTTTGATGAATATTTTAGTGTGTTTTAATTGTTGTTAATTTTGTTATTCATGCTTATATAGATTATTTGAAATTTTTCAAGATTATCTTTATTAATGAATATGCAAGTTTTAATGTTTTCTATGCGTTTTAGATGTTTTTCGTTGTGGTGAAACATTCATAGATTGGAATGGTTATGAATTAACTAATTCGAATGAATCAATATTGTTTAAATTAGGTTTACTTATTTTAGATTGTTTTCTTTCTGATGTAAGTGATGGATCAATTCAGCATTGATTAAGTACGTATGATGAATGAGTAAGTGTTTGAAATTTTGTTGTAATATTAGATGTTTAATACCTTACTGAACTATGTTTATGAAAGTGAACCCTGTATGTAGGGCAATCTGGATAAACTCATTTGGATTGTTTCGCTTACTTTAAACGTTTTTTGTGATGAAAATTATCGATGAGTTCAATGTTTATCAGTTAGGTGCCATGTGTCCATGAATATATTGAAATTTTTTATTTGTTTTAGATATTTTTGTACTGTTGTATAGGACATTTATCAAGAGGTCGCTTTATGAAGATATTTTTTATAAATATTTGATTTAAATTTTTTTGGTTATTTCAGATATTTTTTCTGATGAAACTTTTCCATCATTTAAAGTTCTACGAGGTAAGTATGATTTATATATAATTATTTGAGTGACGAATGAGTCGTATGACTGAATAAATATATTTTCATTTTCTTTTCATATATTAGATATTTTGTGTTGTTATAAATCATATTAGTATATGTAAGGTAAATACTTATAATTATTTTCTTTGAGTTTTGTTTTGCTTATTTCAGACTTTATTCTTGTGGTGAAGCCTATCCATCAGATTAAGGTTTATTAAGTATGTATTTCTTATCAATATTTCCAGTCGACTTGTTTTTGATTGTTTTAGATATCGTTTAATTTTATTAACACTTGTGATTTGAAACTATACTTGTAGTCAAGTTGAATGTCTCGCTCAAGCTGAGCGCCTAGTAGTCGTCGAAGCCAAAACCAAAATGATATAGTGAATGTTTTTATAGTAATGTTTTAACTGGTTCTGTATTTTTTTCGAGCATTTTATTTTTCATATTTTTTTGTATTTAATAGTGTATGCTTAATGTAAAATTTGTTGAATTTATAATAAAAGAAGAAGAAAATATATGATGTAGAATATCTTAGATCATGAATGAAGTATTTTTCGACAAGTTCCGTGTCGCATCCGATTGTAATGAAACAAGTAGATATTCCTAGCATGTCTCAACAAGTTCTATCCAAGGGACACTTTTGCAGTTTGGGGAAGTGTTGCACTTACGAGAAACTATTTTGTATCATTTATTTTTAAGCGAGGTATGTAGGATGTATGGTCAGTCGGTCGTTTTTTTGGTGACATGGAGGCAAATGGACTTAAGATGAGACCGCTGATACTTTCAGACGAGCACTACGATATTGATTCCAGTGATCTGATGAAAAGAAGATAGAATTGATTCGCGAATAGTTTTGGATGAAACACGACGATAGAATGAAATATAGTCTCTATTTTTCTTTGCTATGTTTTCATGATATGATTCAAATGTCTGTACAAGACGATAGAACAATTTTTTCTATAGTTCTTATTAAGTCTATGTAATGTTCGAAAGAGTTTCGACTCTCATCATTTTGCTATAAAGTGATGAGTTTCAGTAATGGAAATTGTGAGTAGATAAAAATGCTGCACGAAAATTTAATGATGGAAGAATATACGCTATAATCAAATAAAGTAGACGGTATTTAGTTGTATTGATAATACATGTTTTTGACATGATTTAGTCAGTAGATACAACAGCACATGTTTCTGAATGTGTAAATGGTTGCACGATCGTGATTGATAACTTGAGAGGTATGATTGTATGAAAATTTTTTCTGTGTGGGGATTCACAGTCTTTCATGTAATAGAAATCACTAATCGATCAGTTAGAAAGAGCCTGGGGGACTTATAATCTGATTGTTTTAGTTTTGTTTTATCTTTTAATGTTGACCGTACACCTTACATTTATTCTTGCCTTGCTTTCGGCCATCCTTTTCAGCGGTACGATAGACATAAAAGTACGTGATGATTTAATATCATTTTCAAAAGTTAGAAGCTACGGGAATGGCATCTTATCTACTTTTGTTTGACAGGTCTAAGTTCCTATTCGATTGGATATCATTCGGCTTGGATGTCAAATAAATGATAAGATGAGCGCATTGATAAAAGATGAAAAAAAATCATATTTCTAGTACGCGAATTATCAATTGAATTCTTCAATTTATGATTGGTTCTCGATTGTCATTGGTCTATTTAGATTTCTTCTCTTGAAAGTCACTGAAAAAAAAAAGATATCTTTCTCGCGCCATAAAAATACTTCCTCATAAAAAAAAACGACGACTGTCTTGCGACAACTTCCACTGCTGTCTATTTGTCTTAAGAAATCGGTTACAAGTTACTGTTTCCTTTGATTTCAATAATATTTTATTTGATTTTGTATTATAATGACTGATTCAAATTCAAATAAGAAAGGTAAGGATATTTGGTCACGAATTACTTTAGGTCAATTGGTCGCTGCTATTCAATCTCTCGGAGATCGTGTTGATCAACTCGAACATGAAACATGGCGATTGAATATTAAAACTAGATGCCCCAGTTCTCTTTGGGGTGAAGTTATCGATAAATTAAATCTTCGTCATGACGAAAAAACACGTCATTCTTTGTATAACATATGGTGCCTAGATCGTCACGAAATTCAGAAACTTGTTGGAAAAAAGAAAAAAATACATGATGGAACAGAAAAGGATGGATGCGAGAGTAATATTGATGACAAAGAACAAAATTCTGTTTCAGAAGGAAAAAATTTACCTTTACCTTCTAATCTTTCGTTGCCGCTACCAACATGGCCAAATACACGTGCTAATAAACAAGAAAATATTGATGAAAATAATCCTAAAAATGTGTTCGTCGGAGAAATATCTCTTGCTTTTACTTTCGTTGAATGGAAAAATGCGTTTAGTCGTACGGATCAGAAAATGAAAGATGATTGGACTGATATTTTTTATGAAAAGTTAAAGGCATCTGGAATCAGATGTTCAACGAAATTTAAAACACCAACCATCAAAAAAGGAAAAAGAAAACAAAACTGTCAATATTTCTGTTGCTATGCTACATGTACTATTGGTAAATGTCCAAGAAAATATCAAATAACTCTTCGCCATCTCCCAGATCAGAACTCGTCGGTACTTTTTTTGGTGCGATTTTTTGGTCAAGAAAATCATAATCCTGTCATCAAAACAGCTGCACGTAAAGTATCTGGTAAAAAACGTTTGCTTATCGGTAAGAATTTTTACTATTTACGTTGAAAATTTATATTAATATAATATATACATTTTAGGTAAACGAGCAAATGAAATTGGTCCACTAGCAGTGTACCGTGAACTCGTTAATGATGCTGATAGAGATCTGCTTGCCGCTGGTAATTATACACAATGCCCAACGATTGAAACAATAAAAAAAACGGCCTCAGATTTCCGTAAGAAGATGTGCATCGACGAAAGTATTTTCACAGAATGTCGTATAATTCGTAAGGTTTATTTGAAAGATGATAAATCATCCGAACATATTCATGGTAAGTCTAATATTTATGAAAAAATTCACTCAACAATTTCTGTGTTTTTTGCCTCAGGATACATTCATGATACGGGAGAAATGCCATTTCGTGTACATTTATATTCTGAATCGCAAATTCGACGATATGTAAACTATATTAGAAAGGAAAAGTATTCATATGTTCATACAGATGCCACAGGTGGTATTCTACCCAAAATGTCTGAACAAAAACATTCATTACTCTACGCTATCATTTTCAAAGATGGTATCGATGTTGATGATACTGTTCCGCTTGCACATGCAATTTTAAGTAGTCATACAGTGGCAAGTATTAGTTTCTTTTTTGGCAGATTAGGTGAAAGTATCGCTGAAGTTCACCAAAAAAGGGTTCGTCCTTCTTTTTTTATAATTGACTTTTCAGCTGCTATAATGAATGCCGTTCTGCAAACATTTAATACTGAAACGATCAATATACATCTTAATCGGTGTTGGAATGTAATACAAGGACAATATAATGCTCAACAACTTCGATCTTTATCTTTTATCCATTTATGTTGTTGTCACGTCATACATGCCATTGCACGAAGTTTAACAGCTGCGCATGTTGATAAAAAAACTCGAAGAGCTACACTACATATATTTGCTTTCATCTTATGCAGTAATGATATTGAACAATTATATGATATTCTCGGATCGGTGATTAACATCTTTGGCGACCCAAATGAACAGAAAGCCAAAGAAAAACTTAATAAAATGCTTGCGCTTGAATTTGACGTCGATGAAGAAAGTGAATCAATGTTGAAGGATGGTAAGAAAATATTTCAAGAGGCAAAAGAAATGGATGATGAGTTGAGAGTAGTAGACGAATATCTTCGTTCTAATGCCCCTATAATTCATCAATCACCATTTAATAAGGAAGCCATTCGACGTTATCCGGACTTAGCTAATATTATTCATAATAAATCAAAAACTGATAAAACTAATAATCCATTGTTTTCTCCATCAATAATTCGTATTTTTTATCGATGGTGGGCCTATTTACCTCTATGGATAGGCTTACTAATGAATTTTGAAGAACGTTACTCGAATGATAAAAAAAAAAATTCGTCTGTTATATATTTTCCTGTTCGTTATTCAAATGCCATTATTGAGAGCTACTTCCGTACATTCAAAAAAAGTATTTGTAAAGGAAAAAAAAATAATCTCCCGTCAGATATTATCATGGAATTACATGGAAGTATTCAAGTACAATCAAAGGCGAATGAATTTGGCCTAAAACAAAGCTCAAAGGGAAGAAAGAGAAAAAAACAAACCGTAACGATAGAGGAGAATTGGGGCAAGGGAACAGCGGATACGAAAATTCGAAATGTTTATCTCCATATGATCGACAAATGTGCATCAAAACGTGCTCGAGCAAAAATTGATGGAGCTCAATCAGATGATGTTATCAAAAAATACAGGTACATTACTTGAACTTCAAATTCTTAACTTTTTTTCGATCTTTAGTGATGCGGAAGAAACAACAACTATTGCATCATCACATAAATCAATAGCACCTTCTGAAGAAACAGCTAATGATATTTCGTCAAAGTGAGAAAAAAATTTTCTCATATCAAAAACAAAAATATTCATTTTAGTGAATCATCTCGAAACAGTGATAACCGTTCTACACCATCATCATCAAAACGGAGTTCAACAGTAAGTAGTAAATATTCTATTGATATTCCGATTACTTTAGATAAACCGACGATCGACAATGATGAACAAAATGAAATTTCAATTGAATTCAATTTGGACACAAATTCATATTCTTCAATCACAAGTACTTCATATACTGTTCATAAAGGTATGCAATAATATAAATTTTTTTTTTAATCAGATTAACATTTTCTTCATTGTAGAACCCAAAGTGACAACTGATCAATCATCAAAGAAGCCGCCTATTCAACGTTCACCCCAACCAGAAACAATTGTTGATGGCTATAAATTACGATGGCCAAAGTTCGGAGTGGATAATGTCCTTTTCGAAGGTAATTAGAAAAATTAAGCCAATATTTGTTTCCCAAAGATTATTTTCATTATTTTTTTTTTGTCTTTTAAGGTCAATCATATTCTCTCATACTTACATGTCCAGTAGATACAGCATTATTTGCTTTATATTTTGTTTACAAAACTGATATAAATCTTGCTGATGAATTCGATAACGCACCAGAATCATCACCATATTCGACACTTGTCAAAACGTTTCAGTTAGTCGAAGGGTGTGGGTGTGGGTGGGTGTGGGTGTGTGGGTGTGGGGTGTGGGTGTGGGTGTGGGTGTGGGTGTGGGTGTGGGTGTGGGTGTGGGTGTGGGTGTGGGTGGGTGGGTGTGGGTGTGGGTGTGGGTGTGGTGTGGGTGGGTGTGGGTGTGGGTTAGAGATGCACCAGTCCCAGTTCTGACTGGTGAACTGGATCCCAGTCACGACTGGGTACTCAGTCATTTGAGCTCGAGTCCATTAGTCGAGTAGTACTTTCTTCTTTTCTAGTATATTGTCATACAGTGATTCCTAGACTATTGAAGTACTGATATAAGCTATAACATTGAATTCATTGACTAATCATATATTTCTATGTATCAATCGTTATAATTTAGAATAACTCCTCCCCTCCCCCCCATCCCCTCCACAATATTACAAGATCTCCTCATAATAGAAGACCCCTTTGGGAAAAAAATTGTGTTCCGCATAATAAAAAACCCCTTCCCCATTTATTTAAGATTTTTTTTTTGAGAACTGAAGATTTTCATTAGTTTTTTATCCCGAAACGTGTCTATTCTTGGGATTTTCAGTTGAAAATTTTCAAATTGATGAGTTCAAATGTACATTTAAGATTCGAAAGTCGTGAAAATCCTTTCTCCAATTTTCAAAATCGCTTCGGTTCTCTCAGAGTACCTTTTTAGTTACAAAATCTATCAGTGTAGCCGCTATGGAGCCGAAGTGTAGTACTCATGAGACTCAGGCTGCTACAGATTTATATTATATTCTCAAAAACGGGTAGAAAAGTTTATTTTCAAAAGATATCAAATAAATGGATAGATTACAACTAATTCTATTGTTTGAGTTAAAGCACACGCTCTAAAACTTTATCCCAACGAAACTATTTCATTTCGATTTACTACCTCTTCCTTCGCTCCATTTATCAGATTTCCTGAATATATTTATAATATTAATACAACCGACGCAGAATGTTAAGTTTCTAAAGAAACATTGATCAAAATGATTAATTTATAGCAGTTTCTATTCGCGCATTTCAAACATTTTTTTTCTAATGCGTGCTTTTTTTCTTGTTGCTATTCGCTGTATTATTCTTCTGTTAATCGAGATTATCATTATTTCATATTATTCGATGCAAGGTTTAATTTAATGGCTAAATAAGCTTAGTATAGACATTGATTGCATCTTCGTCAGATCCTAACAATCTTGTATGCATACTATTGTACTGAGTAAGACACAAAATAAATGTTTCTAAAAGTTAGAAAGTAGTTTGATCACGCTTTTATGTAACTTATACTACCGTTATGAAAAATCACAAAAGATAACCTTTCACATGAACCGTATAAACTTTTATCTGCGCAAAAAAAGGAGGCTAGCTTTTTGCGAATACTCATAAACATATTCGAAGTATTGAAAAGCAAAAGGTTCTAGAAATTTCCACAACCTTTTAGATATAAGTGATTGTTACGACATGTAATGAGGAAGAGGGAACAAGCTGAAAAACCTTGACTCAAACTTACGGTCACTATTAGTTTCTTCGGAAATATATGTGGGCTATACGAAGCTTAAAAACATAATATTTAGAACAGAAACTAGAAATTACAGAATTTAAAAATAATGTAGCCACTGATATTAATTACTCCCTATTGTTTGTTGCTGTGGGAAGATATCGTGATGTTTTTCCCAGCATCTGGTTACTTTGATAGGAACTGAGGAGCCGTAAATCCTGAACTTAAACTTGCATTTACTAAATTCTTCGAAAATACTCGTGAGTTTCGCAAAAATCCGAGAGTCATAATAAAAGACCTCCCTAAAAAATTTTTCCGCTTAAACATAATAGAAGACCCTGGGTCTTTTATTGTAGGGGGAGGGGGGGGGGAGGATTTACTATAAATAAATTTTATATGTCTTCGTTAAACTTTTATGAGCTATCTATTGAGGCATAGTTTTCGTTTATTATCATCTGTTGAACTATTTTCTTTGCTATAGATAACTCTTCTAGATAATGAATTTCTATAACGGCTTGTTTTAGAAAAATGTTTCCTGTAAGATCGATACTGAAATAAAAAATAGAAAAAGCCGGATTCATTTTAAGAAGCATCAAAACGAATACGATTGACTCATGTATTAAGTGAAAGCTTGTAATCGATCAAAATAGTACTAAATCAGAAATTGTAGTCATGAATGATTCGGTTTCGTATTTTGAATTTCAAACTATATTTTTATTTTGCTAATAGTTCCTAGAAGAATGTTTAGAATATCTTGTATACATTGGAGGTAAATATATTTCAAACCAAAAAGAGCTTGTCAGGACAGCCTCATTTAGGGCTCAAATGTGGAACTCACATATCTTGTTTGATTTCATCACATCAATACAAAACATAGAGTGTAAAAACTCTGTAAGGCGATCCTTTTTCTTCCCGATTCTCGATTGTCAGGAAAGATCCTTCTTTTTCTTCATCTTAAGAAGAATTCTTTTTCTTTGAAACAGGTGTCTTGTTTTGCACCTTTATTATTGTTACTTATTCGTGACTTTTCATTGTCCTAATTTTTTAAATTTAAAACTTTCATTATTATAAGAACTGAATACAATCACAAATAATGTCGTTGTAAATAATATTCATATAATGTAAGTAGGAAAGTCTGTAATGGAAAGTGTCTATAATGATGGATATCTGGTTGCAATGATCTGTAATGGAGTGGGAAAGGCACTGCAAAAACCTCGCCGTAAAACTTAATTACTAATACTGCTGAAATATATTAATAATATTTTACGTTATAACGATTGGCACATAGAAATATAAGAATAGTCAATCAATTCAATATTATTGCTTATATCATTATTTTATCAGCCTGAGAGTCAATGCATTCCAATATATTAGAAAAGAGGAAAGTACTGTTCGATTTGCGGAATAAACATCAAATGACTAAGTACCCAGTCGAACTGGACACTCGGTCCGACTGGGTGTCCAGCCCGACTGGGTACCCAGTCCGACTGGGACCCAGTTACTGGCACTGGTGCATCCCTAGTTCCCATGAACTGGAACTGTCACAGTCCTTATGACGAAACACATATGATGATGCATTTTAGCTTAGGAGAAGTATAATTAAACGCTCAATTATCAAAAGACTGAGCATCGGTAATAACAGTGCCGATGATGCCAACATGTCTGACATTATTATCAAGTCCTAAGTGACTTCGAATGAAACTGTGCTGAATTATTTTGTAGTTTTATCTATGCAAGTGAACCCGTATCCCTATCTGTTCTACCATAGATTGTGGTAGGGACAACGAGGAAAGTTTTCCAACTAACTAGTCGCTTTTGACTTGGGTCTATGTTCATCATGTATACTCTAAAGCGTTATGAATACCATGAAAAGAGTTCGGAGTGCTAGCTTATTGTTACCGGAATATTGAATTTTTACGGTTTTTTTTAACATAATACCGTAGCTTTCCCGAAACACTAAAAACACTGATTTTCTAATTTCGATTTGAAACTTTGCACAGAAACAGGCCGTAAACGAGAATAGTTCATTGTTGAAGTTTCAGATCTTTTGATTTACTCCTATTCTGAAATAAAAACATCGAATCTGTCGACGTGTATGAGCAGTGTAAACGACACGCTTTTACGATGGGTGTATCGCAGAATAAGAACAACAAAAGGATGTGAAATTTTCAGAATGAACTATTCTCGTTAAAGTCTGTATCTGAGCAAAGTTTCAGGTCTAAATTCAAAGATCAGTATTCCTAGTACTCTTGAGGGAGATCACGGCATTGTGTTAAAAAATACCGTAAAAATGCAGCAGTTGCAAAATTCTTGCAAAGCAGAATTCAGAAGTTTGTAACTTATGTATTTTTACATTATTATTGCGGCGCTGAAATAAGTTATGAGTACTTCATTAGAAATCTATTACACTTCTATAATTCTATTTAAGAGACTGAAGACCTGTGATTGAAAGATTGGTTAGACTTTTATGTGGAATTAAAATTCTGTTTGAATATTAGAATTCTATTCAAAATGCTGCTGTGAAGAAAAGAATTCTTAGCAGAATTTTATTTCTAATGAATATATGTTTGTGTTATAGTATATGTAATGAATTAAAGATTTATTTGAATATTGCAGTTCTATTTCAAATTCTGCAGTATTTCGATCAAGTACAGTCTCTATCATGAATTAAAATTCTGCTGGAATAATGAATTAAAGTCTATATATTGGGTTCAAAATCTGCTAGAATATTAGAATTTTATTTGAAACTTTACTGTGAAAATAGAATTCTGCTATGAATTCTATTTTTTGATAAATACTTACATGTGTGAAATAGTGGCGTAATCAGAAAAACATGGGTATTAGGGCTTAGTCCCAGATCGATTGTGAGCTTTTTTGAATCGTAAAATTTTCAAAAACATCGACTTGATATTGCAGAACTTTAACACTTAACATTATAGTCAGCCTGAAATTTATGTGAGTACAGTGGCTAATTTAGGTAAATAATCATATACGTCATATACAGAGTGGCCCATAAGTCAGGTAACTGAAGAAAAAATAAAATATCTCCATTATAACCCGACCAAACGGACTTATGTTATCACTAAAGATAGAGGCATGTTCACACCGCAAATCCATACGAACAAGGTTAATGAGAACCGTTGCTAAGTATCACTATTGAGCTCAACAAAAAGGTTTCATTGGTTCACAGATAAGAAAAAAAAACGCTATACTAAACATAGGTTCTGGCTAATCTTGCTTTATGAATTTGAAGGGTAAACAAGCCTTTATTTGTGGTAAAAAATTCAGCTCGTTTGCTGGAGTCGTGATGGGGATATTCAATTTTTGCCTCGGTTACCTGACCTATGGGCGACCCTGTACATGAACAAAATATTATGAAAACGAAAGCAGATAATTACTTATTTGAGCATAATGCCATATTTTTGTGAATGTCCAAACACTCAGCTCTAAGCCGCTTCTTGGATTTACAACTACATCACGTTCTAACTGTAAGAAAACAAACATCACGCAAACGATCATCAGTGATACGAGCCACCCATGAACCAGGGTCGGAATAAAGAAAAAGAAGTGAAGATCGGTCAAAAACAGGCGATGTTCAAACGCAGGAAAATAAAAGTAAAACAGAAACGAATATCCAGGTCCTTTTTACGAAACTTTCGCTTTTTCGAGATTTTCTGAGAAAACTTCTAACTGAACATCTAAGACGCGGAAAGTCATTAGATGAAAACAAGCAGCGTTCGGATAGCGGAGAGAGTGAGAGCCATAAAATGCGATTTTTCATGAGACGTTCCTTATCGATCGCCCACTAGTGACTTGGACCGTAGTTCTGATCTATTTAATTTTCGAAACGCACGTTTAATCTGACTGGTTTTTATTTATTTAGATTTAAAAACTCCTGAACCCCACATGTGGGTGGTGAGACTGAGCCCCACCTGCCCCTCCCCCCCCTCCCATCCGGTTACGCCATCAGTGTGTGAGTTTAAAGTATACAAATTTAACTTCTACTGCGTAATGATGGCCGATTTGTCATATTGAAATTCTGCTGAAACATTAGAATTCTATCCAAAATTCTGCTGTAAAAATAAAGTTCTAAGCATAATACTATTTCTGGTCGTAAACAGATGTGTGAAAAACGATATGTTAAATTGAAGTTCTACTAGAATATTAGAATTCTATCCAAAATTCTGATGTGAAGATAAAATTCTAAGCAGAATTCTATTTCTGGTGGGTATGAAGATGTGTGAAACTCTAAAGCGTACAAATTTCTGATTTCTACCGCGTAACGATGGTTAATATGTTACCCTGAAATTCTGCTGGAACATTAGAATTCTCTTTAAAATGCTGCTGTATAAACAAAGTTCTAAGTAGAATTCTATTTTCGATGCGTATATAGATGACTTAAAACTAGACATGGGTGAGACCAACCTTTTTGTGGTCCCGATCCCGATCAAAAAAATTTTCGGTCCTGGTCCCGGTCGATAAAAAAATTTTAGTCCTGGTCCCGATCAAAAAAAATTTTAATCCTAGTCCTAATAAAAGAATGCTATCGATCAGAAAACATCTTCGATTCTGGCTTCATCCTTAATCGATAAGATTGTGTACCAGTCCATAAACCTGACTTTGAGTGAAAAATGAAAATTTTGGAAAAAAAAT